GTTCAGGATGATGTCTCAAACTGTTAGTACAGGTATTTACCTGGTCTATCATGGAATATAGTTTTGAAGGAAAGTCCAGCCTATAGAGAGAGTTGATGAACGTGCAATTGTGAAAAGTGTAGAATGACATATAAAGCAAAGGTAGATTAAAACAGTGAAGAAAGTACCTATAGAAAAGAATCCATGTATAATGATGTCCTATGATATCATCTGTTTAGTTAATGTTTGGGCTGTATGAAGTATTTTCTTGTTATCTGTTGTATTATTTAAAAATGAAAGGAGTTCATATTTAAGTGAAATCTATACTTCGGTTTTGATTAAAGTTTCGATGAAAAAGGCTATTTTCAGTTTCCTACTTTCCATTGTTGTGTAGTGTCAAGAATTTGATGATGATTCTAGCTAGTAAGATGACTTAACATTGAAGCTGTGTTCGTGTAAGGCTGATCTTGTCAGATATAGTAACAGATATTCAGATTATTCAAAGTAAATAAACCAGGTACTCCCAAGGTTGTAGCTACAGTGGGCAGGGCCCTCCAAGATTAGTTCTGTCCACGTTGTACTCCCATGCTATGTGACTACTTCTGCCCAGCACTAAATATCACTGAGAAAAAGGTTTGTTACGACAGCACAAGCTGCGCGACATTTGGAGCATGCGCTGGAGTTCTAGAAAGATTGTGACTGTTCCTCGCAACTCTAGGCTTGTTATGTTCTCGTATATAAGCCGGCAAATAAAGTGACGGCAGAGAGATAATTGCAGACAGAGAGAGATATAGAGACAGATAATCGAGTCAAGCCGTAAGTAAACTGCATGAATCGTAGTGGATTATAGCATGTGTTTAAGTTAAAGTGACTGTGGAAATTAAGTGTATTGCAAAGTTGTATTGACAAAGAATAAACTAGTTTTATTTAAGAAAGGACTTGTATCACTGAAGTTTTTCAGAAACGACCAGAGACGTAACAAATTGGTGTGGGAAAGTGGGACTGAAAAAAAATAAGATGGAAACGAGAAGTGACAAATCAAACTACAGCTTAGCAGATTTGATGGCAGCAATACAAGAACAGCAAAAGAAACAAGAAGAACGAGAAAATAAACAAGAAGAACGAGAAAAGGAACAAGAAAAGAGATTACAGCAGTTGTTGGAGGAAAAAGAAAAAAAACAAGAAGAACGAGAAAAGAAACAAGAAGAATGAGAAAAGGAACAAGAAAGAGATTACAGCAGTTGTTGGAGGAAAAAGAAAAAAAAGGAAAGAACGAGAAAAGAAACAAGAAGAGAGACAACAGCAGTGGCAAGAAAACCTACAACAGTGGCAGCTCGAACAGCATAATAAACAAAAGAGATTACAACAGCTGTTGGAGGAAAAAGAAAAGAAACAAGAAAAACGAGAACAAAAACAAGAATAGAGACTACAGCAGTGGCACTGGAACAAGAAAGGAAACAAGAAGTACAAATGGAAAACTTTATTAAATTTCAAAGT